AAACACAGACGTTCAAAGCTAAATTGGGAAGAGTGTATAGATAAAACGAACAAAGTTAAATTAATTTTTATTATATAGAAGCTAATAATCACACTTCATTTTATTGTAACAATTGACAAACAACATAGTTTGTGTAATGAATCAACTTCCGTTTCTCAGTGGACGACAATATTTAGCCAACAAACCAATAAGATACTTTAATATAATACAAAATAACAGCATTGACTAAAGGTGACTTTTATCCCGATTGCTGAACTAATATGCAGTTACATAGTACCATTTACTTATTATTTTACTGACAAGGAAACAAAGAAAGAGTAGGTGAAAATAGGTTAACAAAGTACTAAGGATTATACAGTATGATATTAGTTACTTTTGGCAACCGGTCTTATAGGAGATTACATACGAGCTGAATATCATTAAGTTTCTTCGAGATTATAGGTACATCTTACTGACGGGTGTCAGCACATACAGAACCTCTGTTTAGACCTCCTAGACAACTTCGTTAAATATTAAAACCACATGAATAAGAGAAAATAAATAAGAAATTTAAAAAATATACATTTATTAGATTAAAATTTTAAATACAGAACATTGAGAGTACGTATTGATCAAACCATAAATCTTTACGGATAATAAGTAAGAAAAAAGTATTTGAGTAGTTATTATATTGATAACTGCCAATAAAATGGTACAGCAAGAACATAATAATGGATTTGAGCATTCACCTGGAATATTTTTGCCACAATATACTTGAAGTATCAATGTATTAGCAGTATCCACCACACTAAACCTTTATATATGCTCCTTTCTATTAGTAGGTGCCTAGTTTGGTAAAGTATCTGAAAACTGATTTGAGGTCACTTTGTTCTCACAGTGAAGACGGTACCACTTTATATCGCTATAAGAAAATTAGCTGCACATCTGGAACAATGTTTACATTTGAAGAAATAACGCTTATATAGAGAACTTAATTTTGTGTATTTGTGGGAAACATTACTCACAGATCTTAAAAAATATTACAGTGAGTCATTACATCTACTAAACACAAAGACATGAGTTAATATAGAGAAATTAAACCGATTTTGTATATTAAAATTACAGAATTATAAGCTTTTCCATCTAATTGATATGCAGTATCCAGTTCGTATGACCACCGATCATACAACAAGATATATTCACTAAAATTAAACTGCTTCAAGTTCAAATTATTATTCGGGTATAAAGTAAAATAAAGTCAATGCATGTTTGGTCCCGTACTTTGATATCTAATAACAAATGAGCAACTCCGTCTGTAGCTCTTCTAGAGTTACTGCCGGTCCCAAGCCCACAAAAAGAAAGGTTGGGCGTGGGATCGACAACCCCATCCGGTAGAAAAAAATCTAGCTAAAAAACGCCAACCAGATTACACAAATTAAACCATTTAAACTCTGCCCAACAAGTTGATGGAAGAATTATGACGCCAGATGATGAAAGCCGAGATTCTTCGAATGTCACGAGGCCGATGCCCCTTCTAACAACGAGAGCAACAACTTAAATAGGTACATGGGATGTTCGGACAATGTGAGAGACTGGGAAGACCAACCAAATAACTGCGGAAATAATGAGAAACAACTTGACAATGCTCGGAATCAGTGAAACGCAGTGAATCCGATCAGAACAGAATTGGATATATTCGGGAGAGATGCTGCTGTACTCTGATTACGACGAGGAAAATGCTCCGCACACTCAGGGAGTTGCTTTGATGCTGTCCGAAGAAGCGCGGAAAGCTTTCATAGGATGGGAATTTCGTGGATCCTGAATCACCAAAGCACCGTTCAAAACGAAGTAGGTGGAAATAACAATGAATATTATCCAGTGCAATATGCTCAATAATGATAGTAATGACATCAATAAAGATCAGTTTTATGAGAGACTGCAATCAAACATAGTGAAGTACCCAAAAAACACCTCACCATCCTGATCGGAGACCTAAACACAAAAGTAGGAATGGATAGCACTGGATATGAAGATATTGTGGGATGGCATGATCTGAATGAGAAAAGAACGAGGGTAGTGAGAGATTTGCAAATTTATGCGCATTAAACGAATTGGTTATAGGCGGCACAAAATTCCCCCAAAACACATACAAATCTATATGGGTCTGTCTCACCAGATCACCACAGGGAACCAGGTCGATCATATTTGTGACAATAAAAAGTTCAGAAGGACAATCATCGAGATCCAACGGCAAAGGAACAAATGGGCAGAATACCTTGAGGAACGCTTGAATGCACCAGCTCCACTGGACATCGAAGCAACACACACAGACACTCCTATAGATATCACTCCACCAACAAGCAAAATGAGGATGACCATCAAACAAGTCAGGAGTGGGAAAGCAGTAGGACCTGAAAGTACACTAATCGAAGCACTAAAGTCACACACAGTAGCAACTGCAAACATGCTCCAGGTTCTATTCAGGAAGGTTTGGGAGGAAGAATAAGTGCCATCGACAGACTGGGAAAAAAGTTAGCTCGCCAACATATCAAAGAAAGATCTGAGCAAATGTAGAAACTACGGAGGTATCACACTACTATCGGTATCAGGAAAGTTTTTCGACAGTGTTGCTGAAGTGGACGAGAGATTCAGTAGACGTCCAGCTTAGAGATCAACTGATTCCTTAAGTATCGGTCTTTCACAAACCAAATCGCGACACTACGGATTATTGTTGAACAATCAGTTGAGTGAAACTCGTCACTATACATTAACTTCCTTGATTATGAGAAGGCATTTGACAGTGTGGACAGAATATTATAAAAACTTCTTTGACACTATGGATTGAGTACCTGAAAAGAATGTGTAATTCACACGATGGAATACAGTGAAAGTCGTGTATGCATGACAGATGATAAATGTATTCCAAGTGAGGACCGAAGACAGACAAAACTGTTTACTCTGATTCTTCCTCTTTTTTTTGGTGGTCGACTGGATTATGAAGACCTCGACATCTGAGGGAAAGCGCGAAGTCAATCAGTAGATTTGGAATTTGTAGATGACGGGGCCCTTCTATCCCATACACATCATCAAATGCAGGTGAGGACAACTAGTGTAGCAGCAGCCTCTGCAGCAGTAAGCCTCAATATACACAAAGGAAAACGCAAGATCCTCAAATACAAAACAGAGAACACCAACACAATCACACTTGATGACTCTGGAAGAGCCGGAATATTTCAAGTACCTGGGGAACATCATTGATGAACAAGGAGGATCCGATGCAGACGTGAAGGCAAGGATTGGCAAAGCAAGGACAACATTCCTACAATTGAAAAACATATGCAACTCAAAACAACTGTCAACTAATATCAAAGTCACAATCTTTAATATGAACGTCGCGACAGTTCTACTCCACGGAACTGAAACTTGAAGAAATACTATAACCATCATCAAGAAGGTGCATGTAATTATAAATAGTTGTCCGCACAAGATAATCAACATCCATTGACCGGATACCATCAGTAACAGCCTTATGCGGGAGAGGACAAACCAGTTTTCAGCTGAAGAGGAAATTATGAAAAGACGCTGTAAGTGGACAGGACATACATTTCGGATTTCACCAAACTGCATCACGAGGCAAGCCCTGACCTGGGATCGTGAAGGGAAACGGAAAAGAGCAAGACCAAAGATCACACTGCGTCGGGAATTGGAAGGAGACACCAAAAGGATAAACAGCAACTAGAAAGGACTGTCCAGGACGGGCAACATGCTTAAGGAAGTAACAAATGAGCACAGGAAATAAGTGAGTGCATTGAATGGTTTATGTATTTCGCTAGCAATAGTGACTGTGGATGGAGAATTTACAATTTTACCAAGAGCAATAGACATTTAAATACATGAAAGCATAAAATGGTTACGGAGGCTGATCGCTCACTGATTAGTGGAGAGTTACGTAGTGTTGTTATCATAGCTGATATTAAACACGGCCTTTCCAGCTGCTAAGACTAGTTTACCCAGAATGTGAGGCTCAAAGTCGGGAATACGAATAGATATTCGATGACTGAATTTCATTAAATGTAAAGACAAGGAACAATAATTATTTTCTATTTAAGCCTTACAACAAACTGGAAACAAGAACTTGAAACTCATAAACTATATACCCCACCAACATGTAAGTATTCTGTACCACAATGCGCACGACATTACTAAAAGGTGGTGAATAATGACCAGTCAAAGTGAAAGACAACCATACCACTGATAGGATCAATATCAATCATATGAGATGTACTGTCAAGACTTCTTTAGATTATTAATTATATTATCAGGGGAAATGTCTAGCTATCAATATGAAAGCCTTACTAAGAATATCTCAGTTTGATAAAAGTTTTTTACGTTAAAAACACCAACTGTATCTGGTGAACGAATACATCAATAACTACATCAACCAATAAAGGAGTATATTTGTGCAGAGTTAAATAGGCATTTATCACATAAAAAACGTCTTTCATTTCAGTTAAATGAGGTCATTATTGGTTCGCTCAGGCACTTACTTGACTTAGATTTATTAAACGGGTGACACAAAATTCATCATATTCATCAAGAACACTCAAATGATACCATAAACTCAACTTCGTAGACATATTATGATGATCTATGCTAACTTAGTTAATTAGCTAGAGGAATTCTTCACCTCATTTCTCATGTGGTCTGGGGTAGCTAATTAAGTGCATCATGAGCGTTGGTCACTTCATTAATCCCATTCATACTTTCATTATTTGGTCAACCTGAATTAGGTGACAGCTTGAAAATCACTACACTGATTCCTGGATTGTTTAAACATACGAAAAAATTGAGTTAATGACTGTGTTCCACGATTCTACATACAAATATAGGTACATATGTTTGACTAAATATCTAAAAAACTAATGTGCTCACACAAATTAAGTAACGCAATATGATGGAAAGAATTATAATCACAAAATAGCGATTACTTCAAATACTGCAATAAATATGGATAAACATACCAGCCTACATATTAATTCTGTTTGCATATGAGTTGTATTGCCGCTGATATGAAGAAAAATTGTTTCCGAATGGTGAATGAGATGCCATATTATAACCTTGCATGGAATTATACATACCAGGGTTGAAATCACGTGAACCATGGCCATTCATTACTGAGTTGTATTGCCAAGCTAAAACACAAAGGAGATGAATTTACAGTACAAACAAAATACCCCAAGGGTTGTGCGAATTTCCGAAGTGCGAATTAGGATACATAGGACTATTTCGATTTTGTTGAGGGTGTAATTTGGGGACTGCAGAGCCGATTGACACACAAACACCTTCTATAACTTGATCTTTTCCCAGCAGTTCCGCTGCAACTTCAGGATCTTCGAATGATACGAAGGCAAATGAACGAAAAGGCTTGGGAATAAATACATCGAGTACCTATCAGCAAATAAACAATGAAAATGCAACTTACTGCACCAAATTGTGAAAAGTAATCTCTTAGCACAGAGGCTGTAATGGACTCAGTAATTCCACCCACATGTACCTTTCGGCTTACCTCTTGACGATCTCCTTCCAACTACGGATTTTGTAAGAACATCATCCTTACCTTGGAGATGGGTATTCTGACGTCACACAAGCGTCCATCTATGCTATGTCGTTCAGACAGACACATAATTTGCGATTCCATATCATTATACCGAATGAATCCGTACCCTTTGCTCAAATTGGAATCGGGATGTCTTTTAACCTGGGCAACATGATAAATACGACAACAAATACCTGAACTGTTACGAGGTCACCGTAACGTGAGAAATATTCCTTTAGTGTAGATTCATCAGTTTTCCACGCCAAGTTTAAAACAATTAGATCTGTACACTTCTTCTCCTCCAGCTTTTTAAACTTCGAACTGTAAGTATCTTTCTCTTCTATACCTTTTCGCTTATTTTCTATATATCATTACGAATACCACACAAAGATAAAGGTACCTCTAGGTAATGCGCACTGATAAACATGAACCCATCCATCTGATGGAGCATAAAGTTTTCCATCATTAAGCCTTACACCCCTCAGGCAACCTGAATCAGGAGCTAAATACTTGAGACCAGTTGACTTTGGAAACACGGACTTTAGTGTGGCAAGAAGTACTGTGCCATCATCTTCAATCGGTACCTCAATGGGACTCTCATTATCATCTTCGCAAACTCTAATAAATTTTACTCCTGCCATTATGATGCTATAGCATTCAGTTGCTGACAGGTTTCCGTCTGGATTGGAGGTAAGTTAAATGTGAGAATCTGAAGGGAATAATATAAGAAAAAACAATGCAAGACTGTGATTTATGGACGAACCAATCAGGCTTAAAACAACAGGTTTCGGATTTTGGCGTGAAATTCATTCATCCATTCGGCTAAATAGCGTTTTGGCATTTTAGACTATGTCAGTTCGTGATGAAAACCCTAAATGTGATTCATAACCCTAACCATCGACTGTAAATCAGAATCCTTATTCTTCACACAAGTTAATAACAGTCATTTATACCTGCTGGTAAGGTGGACAATCTCAGGGTCACTTTGGCAACGTTCAAAAGACGTTTACAAATTATGGTCTCACTGAGAAGACTAGGTACAGCATAGAGAGGGAGTCTGTGGTTATATTCCGGCCTCACAAGGATGTTTGGGTGATAGTGAGTTACAACTTTAAGACCGAAGCCCACTTCTGCGAGGTTGCAGCTACGAGGTTTACAACCCTATAGGCTTTAAGGCTGAAATTTACCAAGTTAAATACTGATATGTTCACTACAATATGCACAACTTTAGCGAAATCCAAACTTGAAAACTGCACTCAGGCTGCAAATCTCTGTTTAAAGGGTGACTCAGATATCTTGGAAAAGGTAAAGGGGGCGGTTGCCCGTGCAACTCCAGGGTTTACCATACAAAGGGCGGCTTGGGAAGCTAGACCACTTAACTCTGTCCTATCGCACATTAACAGGTGATCTGACTTTGATAAAGGATACTAAGAAATGATTTTGGACCCGATATATCTTCTCTTTTTCTTTTTACCAGATCAGGATAACTCAGAGGACATATCAGACAAGTAGAAAAACCAATTATCAATCCTTGGGATGTGTTACTCGAAGTGGTGTCCACCCGTTTAATCGACTCATTCAAGAGATTATACACTCAGAAGCTTGCCAGAAAAAGACTAACACACTCCGTAGGCTTTTTTTTCCCTTACTATATAGTAAGGATTTTTAGATTGATTTGTGTATACACAAATCTGAAACGTGAGCAGATAACTCGTTAGGCACATAAATTACATTTAAAACTACCAACAATTACCAACACTCAAACTTTGACTGAAGGTATTCAGGCAAATGAAACTAGAAACTAAAGTTGATGATGTTGCAGTTGTCTTACGACGCAAAAGAACCCACAGAAACCGCGCTCTACATCCAAGGTTCAATGCGCGTTGTAACTGCCGACTTCGACTAGTAGACCTTATTTAATGTTAATACGCCTTTCATGTTGCAGCGCTCTATGATGTATTGTTTTCACTCTGATTTACCTGGTGATAATTGCTCTGTAAAATACCAACTGTAGTGACTCATTTTTATCACGAGAACCGTATTGGTTTAATGGAAACAATTATTATTATAACTAATTGTACCACTGACTGTTTTAATGTGCTCTTTGCTTAACTGTGCTGAAAACATCCATTTTACTTACTTCGATTGTGACCTCGCACGAATCCGGTTACGCTCAGTAATCAAGCTTATACCGTGGCACGACCTCGGTATTCTTTCGATACCACGAGATCGCCAGCAAATATATTTCAACTCGGTCCATTAAGTGCCTTCTGATACTTGGCTTTCGGAGTATTTTATGGATATCTTGGTACGCGTTCCTTTGTAGTGGTGTTCATAGACTACCACGACTCGACACCACGCAACACAACAAAGCAGTGTTTTTCAGTCTTACGGCGTAAAATTAAAAGCATGAGGTTGTGGAGGTGATTGAGTGTTTATAGCAGCCATGAACTGACCAATATTATATCACTATTTAAAACCTACTAGCACTGTACTCGTTTCGTACCAGTACGGGATTCCTCAGCAGAGTACATCCGCGATCCCGCACGAGGAGATGTTCATCTAGGTACTTGAATAACACCTTTCTAATAATCTTTGCTAAACGTTTGACACCAAACTTCGTTATCGGCAACAGAAGGTAACTTTTTTATCACGTTTTGTACCTGCTTTGGTTACGCGAGATATTAAAACATGCTTGGTGGTAAAATTCCCAGAACCAACGATTTTACAAGAATTTTACATCATTATTGACCATACCAGTTTGACTGTAGACAAAAGTGATGAGAGTACTTGGTGAACCAACCTCATCGGATCACGCCCGGGCAAGGCTAGATTATCTCCTCTTACAACAGATAGTCAGATTGGATTACTTACACCATTTTTAAATACACAATAGCAACTCTTCATTCTTAACTTATGGCTTTACCAGCTTTGAGATCCCAGTAATAAGAGAAGTTTAGAACAGCAGAGCTGTCGAGCAGTGAATCTCAGTAACATCTTCAGTGGTTTACCAAACAATACACTTTTAGTTTTAACCTTGCCAATGCTCTCTGCAAATATTTTTGAATGATTTGATATGTTTTTTGTGTCTTTGAATCTGTTCGTATATCTAGGGACTTTATGTTCACTGTGTCGAAGTAGGCAACTGATATTTTATTGATTAAGACTCCCTCGCCTCCTCCTTCGCACTCAATTAATCCTGAACCGATGGCATGGAGTTGTGATACGTATTGGCAAAAGGAATGTTGCTACGTGCGCGACAGGCTGTTAGCTAACGAATCTGAGGCGAAGCTCTTCTGATACAAACTTTTAATCCAAGCTTACTCAACAGGTGAAGGCTTCCGTTGTTTAATTCCAAAACAACGCTGTAGATGAACTGATCGCATCGGCTGAACGGGTTCCGGAAATCGCCATAACCTCAGAGACGTGTTTTGTTCTGCCAAAGAAAGGCCTCAATCGATGCAAAACGAAATTTTTAATCTCTGTAATTCTAAAACTTATTTTTTGAACATCCATTACGACAGCAAAAGATACTGAAGTCCTCCATCGCCGGTACGCGTTAATGTTGGCCGTAGCCGGTGGATATAGCCGTGTGCTGTATATCACTGACAAGATGATGAAAGTTCGCCATTTCGTCGACACTGGCACAGTAGTTAGCGCCCTTCCTGTCAATAATAGCTATCATCTGGATGATCCGGCCATCACTTTTAGGAGCCAAATGGTAAAACGTCACATTAGGTGAACGACACGTTTGCCTAAATATGGATTTATGTTAAGCCATTCACTAGAAATTTTTTCAGATGTGTGAGTGCCAATCACTGATAGAGAGCTGCAATGATACCATGAACTACCCGTCGGTCCAAGCGAACGGAGGTTAGCTGATGAAACTTCTAAATTATATGTTTGGTGAACTTCATTACTTGGTTTAGGGTTTTACTGGTATTGGTTCCTAATCACACGATCTTTGAAGCTGAGCGTATAATTGTTGAGAAGATATGCAATCAACACGTAACATTAAGAGCAGGTCAGCAATGGTGAACGCGGCAACAAAGAATCGCAATGTCATGGCTCGGTCATGAGGGCGTGGTTACTTTTTATAACCACTTGCCAGTTGTATCAAGAGTATTGGTCCCTTCCCATCTGAAATATTTTTTTCGGAAAATCTAGATGTATATCGCTGAGCATCGTGATAGGACGAGCTAATGTAGACGATGATTTGATTTCCACTTAAGATCATATAGATCAGATAGTCACGTCAAGACAAATCTACAATTTATGGGTTAAATCTCTTGTTATAGTAATACGAATACCGAACTAGATCATAATTCTACAAGATAATGTCCAGGCACACATAAACATAAAACTAATCCATACTTACAACTGGTGCTCGATAAGCATCTCAAATCATACGAACGATAACCGACATTACTAGAAAAGCTCAAACTGGAAAAAGGAATTCGGTCAAATAATGGATATGGAAATAAGCTGGTTATCAGTCAGCCTATGTGCTTTCTCGTTGCATATGGCCCGTAAAAATAATACCAGTGTTTCAAGGCAATTCACGGTTGAAGACGATTTAATATAAACAGTCGCTACCACTACCTAACGCCATACATTCAGGACATAACAGCTACTTAAAAGGTATGAATGAGTTTTCAAAAATCGACTTGGTTAAATGGTATAACCAATTACCTGTCGCTTCGAAAGACATCTGTAAAACGGCTAGAATCACTTTCTCAAAACTTTAGGTACTTTTAGGTACCAATTTTGACTTAAAAAGTGCTTCGAAAAATTTAAAATGATTTGATGACGATGTATTTAGCGGTCTTCAATTTATCCACATGTATACACGGAATCCCACCTCTTACATCTTAAACTTGTTTACCAACATCGACAGAAAACGGCACAAACATTCAGATTTGTCAGACTGGAACCAATTTCCTGGATTTCCTTGGACACACCACCGACATCCAAGGTACTCACTCTCTGTACAAAGGAGTGGTAGTCATTCTGGGTTACCCTGAACCATCTGCAGACAGGTAATCACGCAATTTTAGTAACCTGGTAATTTTTAAACAACGGTCCACACTGAACCGGGTGTCTCTCAAGAGACCGTAAACAGACAAATATTTCCGGAGTGAACAGTGTGGCTAAAGACGCCTTGTTTCGTATAGCACCCTTGAACGGATTCCAAGGCATTGACGGTCTTAAAAAGAAAAGACTGATTTGCAGCACGAGTTATCTTCCGCAACACTGGATCTATGAATCAGACAAGTGGGGACAGGTAAGGAAACTTTACTTGATGATATATCTACAGGCAGGGATCAGCTATACGGTCCGAAAAGTTTTCGACGCAATGCCTTCAACACATCGGAAATCTTTCACATCCAGGTATTTGAGCAATCATCAAGCTCGTCGCAGAACGATTTTATTGGCCTGGTGTCAGCAAGGCTGTGAGAAGATAGAAACGTTCTTGGTTAGGCTATCGGAAATTCGAGTTGATTAGACAAAAAAATGTCCCTTAGGCTCATTTTAAAATCTGACACTCGCTTTTACCACATCTGTCTTGACTTGGTAGGACTCTTATCAGGTTGGAAGACAATCTAGCAGTGATGCTTGACCTAAAGCCTACCGCTAGAGT